CCCCCCCCCCACTCTGATTATGTCCAGCATCTGTGCACCACTTTTCAAAGTTCTCCCTCGGTAATCTTTGGGAATAGTTGATGAAAGTAAAAATCACTCAAGATAGTAATATTGTGCTCCCAAGATTCATCTCGTTCAATCTTGATAACTACACTATCCTTTGTGGTCCATACAACAAAGTAGCAGAATTTGCGCTTTGTCAGGAACATCTGGCCTTGACACTGATGCCAGTAAACATGTGTGGTAGACAGCGTATAATTCCCTTCCTTCTCCTCCAAGTAAAAGTCTTTGTGCCCACAAGCTTCCTTGATTGTCGCATTTCGATGTGTGTAGGGGCACTTACACTCAATCACCGAGTCGTCTCCCACAAGTCCATCAGGGGAAGCACCCAGAACTCCCGACTCGTGTAGCCAAAGGCCGGTCTGTACAGGTGTAAAGTTTGTGATGACACACTGCATCGTGAAATACTTGTGGTGGGACCCGATTATTGGCTAGGATTTCTTGGGCACAAATCTTCCACAGCCCATCACATCCCTCCGTGCGTTCTTTTTCTGTCGCTTCTTGCAATAACTCAAGGCGAGTTTTCTTGGATGGTGCCAGTTTCTCCACAGCATTCTCGATTTCCCATGCGGTATTCATTATATCTGCGTCTGCCCTTGGCGTGCGATTTACTAAGAATTCAACAAGATCTGTTTTTCCCTCTTTTATCTGTTGGTAAGCCAAAGCTTGCAGCTCTACCAATGATATCTGTCACCTCGAATGTCGTAAGACGCTTTCTCTTTCTGGTGCTCGCACTCCTGATAGACGTACGCGAGTCAATATCTTTATTGTCGTCACTGTCCTGGTCAGCCTCATTGCCATGATTTTTGCTTGCAGCATTCCTTTTGCGTTTGTTGTTCCGCTTAGCACGACTTGTGGCACTTGGTTTAGGTTCACCGGCATTCTTAAGGTCCGGGTGGCCAGCACTCTCAATAAAGTTCTTCTTCCTCTTTCGTGACGTATGTCCAGACACTGTAGTAGTTACGGTGTTTACTTGAGTAGTTCACGTTTATCCCGTACTCATTGCGTAAAAACTCCTTCCACGACAGCCAGCGTTGATTGCGATCAAGCTTCACAAATAGATGGTAGTGTTTTCCGGAATTTTTGTGGCTTTCACATCTACAACACTACTGTAAAATTTTCGCGTTGCATTTCGCAAATTACTTTACTACCGCGAAGGCAAATTCTTCTCGCGTGGGAAATAGGTCCAAATTAGCCTGACTGTACGTTAT